GACACTAGGATGTGTTTTAGTATCCTCTTCTCCATCATCTATGACCAACTTGAATTTTGGTAACTTGTTCTTGAATCCAGATGTTACCATGTTTACTCCAAGTGGCTGTGGGAAAGGATTCTCGTCCACTGCCATCTTTTTCTTATCATCGAACGTAATTCGTCCTGATTCAATGGCATCCTGCAATACATGATGGAAAACCAAGCAATTATTAGTCAAATGTGACCATGCATTATGCCACTTACAATATTTTTTACCCTTAATTTGTTCAGGGTTTGGCAATTTGTGCTTATCGCTCAGCTTTATCTGCTTATCCCTATATAATTTATCGAATATAAGGTCAGCTTTGGTCACGTCGAACAAGAACGTTCTAGCCTTTATGTTTCCATCTTTTATAGGCTCATCTTTGCCCGATGGTCTGGGTTTGGCCATTATGGGACAAGTATATGTATCCCCTTTGACCAATTCGGCCAAACACATTTCGGCCTGATCGTATAACTCGTCGTCGATGGTATGAACGTCAAAATTTGGGTCTTTGTAATAAGTCCCTCTACTAGAATTTTTTATTTGTTCTTCTTCTCTTATCAGTCATTCATACCTAATCACATTCGCACTCAACTGAAAAAGGTCAGGAAATTCCTTGTCCTGGAACTTCTCTTTTAAATCAAAGCTCAAGCAGCCCTGAGCTATCTTGACAAATTCTTTTTCGGGCAGAGGAACAAAACACTTGCTTCTTGCTGTCTTGAACCTTTGGAGAAAACTTTCTACCCATTCATTTGGCATTTGACGTAGATTCGCCAAATCAGCCAGAGTGACTTCAGACTCAGTTTTATAAAATTGAGCGTGAAACAACTGTTCCAGTTGTTGCGATGTTTGAATAGAGTTCGCTGGTAAGTTGATGAACCAAGAGAAAGCTACTCCTGTTAACGAACTAGGGAAAAGTCTCATTTTATGGTAATCGGTTACATCACCACTTTGCAACGTGAATCGCCCTATGTGTTCTAGAGTAGACACCTCTCCTAAACCGGTAAACAGTGAGAATTCTGGCACTTTGTACCCTCTAGGCCATGGATATGCTTGGTCTATCCAATCAGGATATGGCTTTGTGTACGTCGGCCTAATGACAGGACGCACCCCAAAAGCCATCTGATCCTGTACGATTTCCATAATCTGGTTCCTCAACATGACATTGGGATCATATGGAATTCCTACAGGCTGATTAACCGGTTGATTTGCATGAGGCCTGATGTTCGGTCCTTGATTGGCAACAAAATTATCATAATTAGGGCCATTACCATTAGCCTGGACATCTGTTCCCTCATTACCACGTGGAATATTCTGTCCATTGTTTAGGACATTATCTCTCACATTTGGATTATCCCCCAAGTTAGGCATGCCATTACCATTGTTTTGATTTGGCACTGTAGTACCCCCTTGGTTTGAAGTGGAGGGACCAGAAAGCGGTTCTACCCCTTGATTCGGATTTAGGACAGAGGGATTATGTCCCACAATTGTCCTAGTTTGAAAGTGGTTTGTAAGAGGTATAGCCGGTTGACATATTTGGCCTACTAACTTATTCATTGTTTCGTTTAACATCTTTAGTTGTTTAGCCATGTTGTCATAGTGTGTATTCCCATTTTGCGTAAATCTTTCCATATTATGAATACTTCGAAGATTTACCTGTTCAACGACGTCTTGCGTGAGTTCTCCAAGTAATGCACGCATGGTTCGAGGACTCAACTCCGTCATTGGTTCGTAACAACTGTTACTGCTCTGATTCTGTCCATCTGTTCGTGGAGAGGCATGCTGCTCCTCATATCGCTCGATCACAGACTGGATTCCTCCCTGACTTGCTCCTTCCTTGTCGGATCTCTGAGAAATATTGTTTCACCTTTTGTACTTTTAACACCTAACACCACTATCCCACCGGGCGTGCCAAATTGTTTCGCGCGGGTTAGTCGCTAACAATTAAAAAGGATCAGACGATTGTGTGAGGGACAAAACCTCTTGAGACAAAGTCCCAAAAGGGGTGTTATTTTATTGGCGATGAATTTTACGATTGGAAATGAAAAACAACATGCCTCCAAGGGACGCAAGCACACGAGTTACTGAAAGAAAAGTGTTTAAGTCTAAAAACTAAGGAAATGAAAATTACATGTTCTCTGTTCGAGAGTCTTGGATTCGGTCCCTTGCTTCTATGTCCTTTCTCATTTTTATACTTCATGGACGATTTCTTTGTAATCAACCGCTCTAAAAACTGTTTGATCGTCCTATAACTACCCACTTTCTTCGTAATGGCTACCTTGTCATGAAAACTGCCTTTTTAACTGCTGCCATTACCCTTCATCGTTCAACCGCTTTCGATTGAATTTCTTGAATCGTGGAACGTGACAGGGCTGCTTTAATAACTGCTTTGATAACTGCACTTCTTGATAACCGCGACGCTTTATGTTTGTTAAGACCTTGGGCGACTTGAAGGTTTGGCGAGAATAGAGTAACAGCTCTGGGCGACTTGCAAATTTGGGCGATGGCGTTACCGCGTTCTTGGGCCTCCTTATTTGGGCCTTCATCTTGGTTTGTTTGATTGGGCTTCGTTATTTGGGCTATCTGATTTGAGGATCCTTCAATTGGGCTTCACTCCTTGGCTGTTCGATTTTGGTTGCATTTTTATGCGTTAACAGTTTCAAAACGGTCACGATTTTTGGGTATTGTTTTAAGTTGGTCACCTTCCATTCAAAAAGTTAACATATTAGATGCACGACATGTTTACTAAATTAAAATTAAAATTTTAAATTAAGTCAAAATTAATTTAATTTTAATCATATATTTTATAAGATTCACAAATTTTATTAATTTTGTACCATGCACGAGCATAGTATTTCAATTTCCTTATCAACTCATTTTCCATATCTATATCACCTTTTAGTCGAAGGGGAACTTTAATTGCACTTTTGAACCCCAAAAGGTTACAAGTGATATTAAAGAAATTAGGTAGCTTTTGAAAATGATTAATATTTTATAGTGTTAATTCTCAGATGTCCTTCCCTCTCTTTATTTTATAGTGAAATGTACTCTTTTTTCCAATTATGATTAAATTAAGTCCCTATTTGTCATTTTTTAAAAATTTAAATTACTAAGACATATTTCTAAGACATTTACAAATGACATACATTCAATGGGTATGGACGAAAGTTTTAAAATTTAGACATATTTGACATTTTATTATAACAGCAAGGATAATATGTTAAATATAAATGACTAATATAATTGCTTATTTATTGAAAGTGGTGTTGGTGGTGGAGTGGGGTGAGATGGAGAGTGATTATGACTAGTTAATTGTGATTTTTGATTAATAATTAATTTGTGACATATTAATTGTGTGGTATACGATGACCATGTTTAATTTTGTGATTAGCATGTAATCATGATCATAAATTGTATGTTTATTGTAATAGTGATCTATTTGATTAAATATAGGTCACAAAATATGACCATCCAATTTTTAATAGAATTGATCAAATTTGTTAGAATTGAAAATGTATTTTGAAAGTATGGTAGGTAGTTATGTATCGTTCCTTAAAAAAAAAAAAAAAAAAAAAGGCCCTACCAAATACACACTAACCTATTTTTTAAAATTTAGAAAAATTGACTACTCCCTAAAATTAACATTACATTTTGAGAAATAAAAATCATTTTGTAAAATAAAAAATTAGGTCATAAATTGATAAAACCAATAAATATTAAGAATATTATATTTTGTAACCAATTTCGTAGGTTCACAAAGCCATTGTTTGAAATGCATTTTTAAACAGTATTTTAACATTATTTCAACCACACATTTTTTAATGAAATAATATTACACGTAAATTTTAAATTGTTCTTTAATTTTTAAACAAACATTTCACATCATTACACTATTAAAAAATGCATTTTTCTAACAAAAATGGGGCACAAACAAGGACAAAATAATAGAAATTCACCTATGTTCTTGTTTGAGCCCCATTCTTGTAAAAAAAAATACATTTTTGAATATTGTATTGATGGAAAATGTTTAGTTAAAAAGTAAAAAATAAATTTTTTTTTGAATTTGAGTGTATTATTATTTTAATGAATAATGTATAGTTGAAATGAGATCAATTTACTGTAGAAGAATGTATTTTGATACAAATAATAGGGCTCAAAAAAGGGCTATATACTATTTAATATCTTCTGAGACACAACATTTCAACAATTATAAATAGACTTTCTGACTTGTAGTTTAACAAATAATCAATGTACTTGCGTTAAGTAAATTTTACATTTAGGCTCTGTTTGTTTTCCATTAATGTAAGAATGAGAATGAAAAATATAGCCGTCACGGACCCGACACAAGAGATAGAAATTCAAATATAATGGCTTAATGTAATGGATAACGATCATATTTTTCATTTTAAGGATCAAATAATGAGAAACAAACAGGGGCTTATTTTGAGTCAAGTATCATACAAGAGATTTCAAAACATTAGTAAGCTTATTGGTCTATGTAATCTGGGTACTCCTATTATGAGACATGCTCGTTTTATTTTGGGAAACGAGTGTCGAAAAATCATCAACACCAATGCGGGGCTGAAGCATTATTGTTTTAAAAAGAAAGAGTCAAACAATTGCTTTGATCGGATTCATATTCACACATTTCTCATTTCTACTTTACAAATTTGATTTCGGTAATTCGAAGTTATATTCGATTTTACGCATGTAAAATGTTAGTTTTTAGAATATAGATTTTAGTCACATTAGTTTTTCTCAACAAAGTGTTCATTCAAACACGGTAGTGCCAAGGTTGATCCTATTCTATCCAATTCAAACTCGAGCCTTCGACAAGATACTTCTCACAAACCTCATCGAACCAAGTTATTCGACCAAGTTAACATAACTAGTTGTCCCAAAAGTTGATGTTTTGTTGAGGACACATGAAGTGAAAAAGCAGTAACCGTAGTGATAGATACTATAGCAATATAATGTTCCACAGAAATTTCCTGCATAAGCAATTTCTAAACTCTTATAAATAGTCGTGTCTCGCGTACACAAAAAATAGGGAATACTAGCATACACTGACAATTTGTCTGTTAAGAGTATTCTCATTTTGTGAGTAAGTTGATAATAAAAAATTTTGTACATTTGTTTGATGGCAACATGTCTTTGCAGAGCAATCCAAGTGCATCCTTGAAGAATAAACCTCTGCTTCTCTAATTACTGGAAATAGAGCAAAGTGCATTCTCTGGGCAAGAAGGATCAAATGTAAGGAGCTGGGCTACTTTATGAGTTGCTATTTTTTTATTCCACTTGCAGAGGACTTAAATGTCCAGCACCTTGAAAGAATCAGCCACCACCTTAAGTTTGTTCCTGACTCGTCTCCACCGTCTTTCGTTTGCTCCAACGATCAAAGTATAGTATCTTCCTGCACAAAAGACATTATATTGTGGAGTTAATTCCAAGTTTTTATAAAGATATATGAACAGAAGATAGCTCTGAGTGTAGTTCATTAATTGAAGTTCTTTTTTTTTCTTTTTTTAAATTTAATTTGTAGATTCTGTTCAAGGATCTTAGAGCCCACTTGGATAATCTTATTCCTTTTAAGTAACTTTTTTAGCCAAAACATATTTGAAGCGTTTAGAAATTACTTTTCTTCTTTTTCTTCTTTGATTTGCAGTAAATATGGGAAGAGCAAAAAATGCTCTTGACGCCCCAAAAAAAAAAATTACTTCACTTTTTTGTTTAGCTTATCCAGTCATGTTATCCGACTCATGCTTACACACTATCATCCCTAATAAAATAATTTCACTTGCATAGGGTTCACTCCAAGTCCTGAGATTAGTTTAGCTGCAGTTAACAATTTTGGAGTCCATTTGATTGGATTTTGGCATGAACTTTAGACAGTGCACCTAATTGCTGAGCTTAAGAGAGCCAAAAACTCTGAAACTCCCAACCCCAAGCAGGATTCCAAAGTGATTGACAAATATCTAGCCAAAAACTTAGTTATTAATTAAACTGAAAGAGAACTTTAATCAAGCAAAACAGTTAATCAAATTTGGATCAGAAGTCAAAAATTGAGCTATCATTCCAATTTCTAAGTGATAGAACAAGTCGTTTATGCATTATACTTCTACAATTATTGAACAAAATCCTAATTTTAAATACATAATTAAGGAATTAAGTAATCCAAATAAAAATTCCCATTCACAAATATGGTTTAGAAGTGAAGGAAAGTGGCATAATCTAAAATAGTTTGAAACTTTGTTATGAATCAGTATCGTACCATTCCCAATTGCTATTGTTGCGAAAGCTGCTCGAGAAAAATTAGGAGATGTAAGTATGTACTCAAAGGTGCAATAGGTTCTACCATCAATTGTTTTCTGCATTTTAAATATTGAGCTGGATGAACTTATATAGATAATAATGATAATATATTAACATGATAGTGCAACCTGACAAGGATTATGCCATAACATCTATTCGGAAGAGCTATAATAAACAGATCCAAATACAACAACAAGCAAATCACAACATCACGATAGTTTTTGGTTGTTTTGGCAAAAACATATTGGTTCACCTTCAATGAGTTATGTCCTCTTGCCACTACATGTTTTCACTATAACGAAAAAGAAGAATACAAGATTTTCCAGCACCTCTCTAACCCAAAAAAGGGGCCCTAAAGAAACCCTTTATATTGTAGAACCATAATGCGGACCTAATAATACTTAAGACTCCTATAATAAAAAAATTACCACACAGTCTAACATAACCGCTAATAGAAATATTAGGAAATATTAGGTTGATCTGCGGTAGAGGAGAAAGTGTATAATTATGATTACGCTTCATACAGTCCATCTCAACCTAGAATGGAGATTAACTTTCTTGAAAATAGAACAGAACAATTTTGGAGCCTTATGTAACCAAATTACTCGTGAATTTTCTTGAAATTGAAACAGAAGTAAAAAAAAAAAACAAATACAGTGATCTATCTGACAGTTGAGCATGGAGAGGCGACATACCTCTTGCATATCCACTATTTTTTCTACCTGAGTTGGTGCCGAGTAAACATTTCTTACAAGATTTAAGACAACCTTCAAGCGAAGAAATCTTATTAGGAGACCCTTAAAACAATCTTTGAAACACACGCATACACATGAGATCTGAAAATGATAGTATTTACCTCTTCCATTGGGCCCAAATCATGGATATCTGTTTTATCTGTTGGTATAAAACTCAATCTAACATTTTGCAGTTGGAGATATCTGTCTTTAAATGCAGAATCATGACCTCTGAAGTCAAATTCCTGAACAAAGAATCATAAAATTTAAGAATATTAGAAAAGTTGATCATATCCCCACTCAGTTGTCATTAGAACTTACTCTCCAATCTGAGGGATAATAGTATGAATAGCCATCTATTTTGTCGATAAAGGCTTCATAGTTCTCTGGTATTCCTGCAAATGTGAAGTTGAGTAAATTGAAACAGAAAAGTAAGAAATGGATAGCATTAAATCCATCACCGGCATTGGTCTCTTCGTGAAGCAAAGAAAAAAACCCCATTACAAAAACATAGGATACTTTTAATTTCTTGTTTGATGGAATGTAAGTTCAGCAATTTTTCCAGGAACATCGGCCATGAACATCATTTAACTGTGAATTAAATGTAAATAAGACATATATCGAAAGGAATAAGAAAATTGTAATGTCTTCCAATCTATAAATTTCGAAGAAAATGACTCTATCTGCAGTGTAATAAATTGAAAAGCACAAAATAGCACCAAAATAAGTATTGGTGATGTAATTGCCTGCACCTCCATAAAAAAAGTGAGAAATTGCTACCAACCATGATACCTTCTGCCAAAAGTGGACATGCTGGGAACAAATTCAACGACAGGGCTCCTATTCCAATCGCAATTGTCCTCCTTTTAAATTTTCCTGAAACATTTAAACTAGCTGTTATAGAGAAAATTAGAGAGAGAGAGTAAACACAAAGAATATACATGTTTCGGCAATTAAGCCTACAACCATGGACGGAGAAAAGAATAACTCCATTAAACAAAACCAAAGAGTACTCTACAATCAATTCCAAATCCCCTACAAAATATATAGTAGGAGATAATACAAAAGTGTATATTAAAACTGAAATTTCCCACTAAAACTGTAACCAGTGAGACTACCAAAATTTTAAGTCCCATCAAATGAATTACGGTTCATGACTACCTCGGAAACTGGGGCTGAACCAAATGACAAAGGAGCCAGGAGATCAAAGAGGATTGGATAGTTCCTGTTTGTATGGGAGAAAACCAACTCCTATAACATGTATAGGATAAACAAATCCAATTCTGCTCTACGTGGGACAAACAAAGCCAATCATATTCTACTCGGAATATTGTCTTCGAAGCCACTAAACAACACATGATTATATGTTCATAAAAGAATGTAATTAGTCCATTAAAGTTAGACACGTGCACAATGTCATTAAATGGGTGAAAGCGAGACACGAATCCAAGTTCTTAGAAAATGTCATGTGTATATCGTTTAAATCTTATCTTAGGTAAAATGTATGACAGATGCAGAACTTTACTGGCCCTCGACTATTTCTTTATTTTTCTCAGTCACTAATAACGTTGCAGATACAAAATCAACATAAAAAAGAAAAATACCCTTTTTAAAACTGTTTGCGAGATAATTACGAGAATTTGATGGAAAATGTTATGAATTTTTTGCCCAGAAACTACTCATTTGCTTTAAGTATTAAGATTTAACCGACTTCCCCAGTAGAACAAAACATGGGTATAATCAGAATAAAAATGAATGGGAATTTTTACCTTCTGCTTCATCAGAAGACGTGTTGCTTGAGCACGCACTAATATGCCGTGAAGACAATGCGATGTATGTTGAATCACGCACGTATAGCTGAAGAAAGGATTGAATCACTGGAATTATAATCGCAGAATACAAAGAGAAACAAGGGATTCATTATGAATTGAAGTAAAATACACGGACCCTGTTCGTTAAGGCTGTTGAGGCAAAGCTCAATGTGAGCGATGAAACTGCCATGTTTATCTTCCGTTCCCTACGAGAAATAGTTCTGACTTTATAATTCTATCTTTATATGGATATATTTTCTTTGGCATGGATTCATTTCGGTGTGGATAATGTGCTTCTTTAGCGGCCACAATTAGGCAATCGACTCACAACGCGGGACTTTCGACTTCAGTACAAGTACGAGTGTGTTACGGGTAGTTGACAGTGTTATTGAAGGGCCATAGACATATGCTAGAATATGTGGATAGAAAATATGGGAAATTCTATTTGTAGCTTCTAGTGTACAATCCCCTCACATGAGTAGTACATGTAGAAAATCTCAAAAAATATTTTGAAGGGCTAGATTCACAGTTCCTTGTAATTGGATTTAGACATCCAGTGGAAGTGAATAACAACTCATTCTCAAGGGGCAATCGTGAGAAACTAATTAATGCATGTATTGAATCCCTAAATTGATGAACGTTGATTTTATACTTTGTAAGTATACGGATCGTAACAAATAATAAGTGAGATCCAGGAGTACGAATTCTCGTTCTCGTGAGAAGTACTCCCAACAATTCACGGAAAAAAATGATTTAAGCTAGTTTTGATTTGTAGAATAAACAAAACTAAAATGGAGGATGAAAATAGAGGTTAGTGTTCGTTAAAGGAGTTCAACCCTACGCATTACCCAACGATCAAGCTTAGTTGTACCATTTTCGGGTTCAGAATTTTATAAAATTTTTACAGTATTTTCTAAACTCATTCAAGTATAATATGATAAAAATTCAAAATTTTCTAACTTCATTCTGGTACTCAAATGGACACTTAAACATATGCCAAAAGCTATTCTCGAGCGTACTGAACACAACACATGAAAAAATGGCATAACTTATCTTACCGACCTTCAAATAACTTGATTTCAAAGCCAAAGGACATAGGACTCATAGGGATTTCAAATTTCACAACTCATTCAAAATTGAAAAATTCAGTTCTGGGTGACAATTTGAAAATTGGACAGAAAGTTGAAATTTCTATTTTACGTTTCTAGATGTCCAAATTCACTCGCCTAATCTTATTTTCGTGTTAAAATTTATGCTAACATGTTATACTAACATGATTCAATAAACATCAATTAATAGAATTTTATAAAAATCTAATTTCATGCTTAAATGAAATATGAGTTCAAACATAAATAATCTTTTAAATCCATTATCTTAATTTTAACATTAAAACATATGAAAGTAAATTCTACACGAGATAATATCACACATAAACTTAAAATTTTTCGTTCTGTTCTTTTTTAACCACACACTCTTCAGAAAATCACAATAATAACTCAAACAGGGGCAAGATGAGGGAGATGAGATTTTGTTTCTTTTTTTCCCCTTTGTATACTTATTTTAGAACCATGTTTCACATTTCTTGCATGATGCTTCTTGTTCTTCTTCGATAAAAGTCCCATCTTGGAACCTTACAATAAAATAAATGGTTAGTGTTTCGCGCGGGTAGTCGTTAACAATTAAAAAGGGATCAGACAATTGTGTAAGGAACAAATCTCTTGAGACAAAATCCCAAAAAGAGGTGTTTTATTGGCGATGATTTACAATTGGAACTAAACAGAATACCTCCAAGGGGCGCAAGCACACGAATACTGAAAGAAATGTTTAAGTTTAAACTAAGAAAATTGAAATTACATATTCTCTGTTCGAGAGTGTTTGATTCGGGGTCCTTCTGCTCTATGTCTTCTCTTCCTTTTATATTCCCTTGATGATTTCTTCATGATCAATCGCTTAGAAACTGCTTGATTGCTTTATAACTACCCACTTTCTTTATGGTGGCTAACTTGTCATGGAACTGACGTCTCTAACTGTTGCCACTACTCTTTGTCGTTCAACCATCTTCAACTGAACTCCTTGAATCGTGGAACGTGATAAGGTTACTCAATAACTGCTTCAATAACTGCACTTCTAGATAACCATAACATCTTATGTTTGCTAAAATTTTGGGCGATTCGAAGGTTTGGGCGAGAACAGTGTCATAGCTCTGGGCGACTATAAGGCACTTCATTCACTCAGATCTTGGGCGTCTTGCAAGCTTGGGCGATGATGTTACCGTGTTCGTGGGCTTCCATTGCATTCACTAATAACCCTATCTGGCCTTTATCCTAAATTGTCCAGTTAGGCCTCATTCTTTGGGCTATTTGATTTGAGAATTCCCAAATTGGGTTTCATTCCTTGGGCTATTCGATTTGGGCTGCACTTTTAGTGTGTCAACAATTACCCCCCCAATATGGCAGAATTAATACCAATTATTAATCTTTGCCATATTTACTTTGTGTTTCCCAACAACATTTGAAATTCTCAAGAATTTCAATCATTATTTCCTCCATAGCCTGAAAAAGTGCGACGTTACAAACCCTTATAAACCCCAAAGACACGCCATTTCGTTGTACCACTAAATCACACCTCATTATTTCGCGCTTCTTTCTCGCTATACCACTGTTCATCTTTTTGCTTCTCTACTACGTTTCTCAAGCAAATTTTAACAAAACTATATTTCTTCCTCAATGGCTGCTCCACAAATCCAATCTAACGACTTTTTTAGTTTCGAAGATTTCTAGAAAATCCTCACTCGGCCATATGTAAATCCGAACTTCCTTGTACCAGCCAATGCCGAACTTAATGAGTTCTATCTGGGTCCTTCATTCAACAACGCCGAAGCCGTCGAGCAAGTGGCGGTGGGCCAGCTGTTCTCTTGTACTCAAGGCCCTCCATTCCTGAACTCTTTGCCACTGAGGTAGATTTGCGAAAAAGGTATTCGCACTTGACCTAAATCTGATGTTGTTTTCCGTAGATGGCATGCTCGCCTTGTGGGTCATGGTCCTACCAAGGCACTTTTTGATTGTGCTAGGATTTCTGATTTATAAGAAATCTCTCTTCAACCCCCAATTTTTGACCCAGCACTTTTTCCTATTATTTTAAGTTTTTGGTCTTCTGAATATAATACTTTTATTTTCCCTCTTGGTCCCATGTCTATTACTTTAAGGGATGTTGGGGCCCCTTTAAATCTTCCACCTTTGGGCGACACCATTTTTCCTAGTATTTTAATTTCTGGTGTTACCCAAAATTTGACAAAAAACTCACCGAGTCCTATTCAAGCCTACAATCAAATGCTGAGCCTTCCCACGCTGAGCGTGTGACCTTTCTTCAGATTTAGCTTTGTAAATATATTCTGTTTGTGCCCAATATAAAGCCTTCTATGAGTTATTTATCCATAGCGCAAGAATTGACGCGTGGTAGGCCTTTGAATTTGTGTTCCTTCTTTTTGGCTGCCCTCTATAGAGACATGACTTCTCTTCAATTTCAATTGAAGTATGGTGCATCTCCCACTGGCAGCGGGCCTCTTTGATTCACTCAACTGTGGTTGAGAGCCTATTTTCCATCACTTGGTGCTCTATCCATGTCCCTTCGTTCTGCTAGCTGCTATGGGCTAGCCATTGACCCATTGAGCCCTGTAAATATGTCTAGAAGGGGCATTTTTTAATTTTTTTATACTTTAAATTCAATTCCTTCCTTCTTTCCCTTTCCTGCTCATTTAACTCCAAATTATGTGCAACCTCCATCTACCCTAGACAATGCGAGCGCCTCTCTGCTCGTTTGGGTTCAGTTTTTGACTAAGAGAGAATTGTTCCATGATATTTTAACTGGAACCAATGCCAAAACTGGGGTTGAAATATATGCTCCCCAATTTTTTGCTCGCCAATTTGGTTTTGGCCAAATTTGGCCTGTTCCCCCTTGTTATTCAAAAAATTTGATAGACCGCTTTCACACTATTAATAAGGCAGAGGCACAAGTTATAGATGCTCGCAATATTCTTTTGACGAGTAACTTTTCATTAACCCCCTTCAATCCTAACCGTTTCGTTCACCCCCTTTTTGAACAACTCTAGCCATCAGTGAAGCGCAGATTATTTGCAACTGATGCCAATTGTGTTTTTCATTCACTAGATCATCCAAACATTCTTTCCACTTCTCCTATTTTGGTCACCCCTGTGTCCATTAGGAATCCTTCCTCCCTTACTCGTGCTAAACAATCTATTCGTCCCTCTACTTCTCTACCTGCCAAACCTACTGTAGCTAAGAGTGCCCCAAGCCGCAAACGGCCAATTTCAACATCTCCCATTTTGGAGGAGGATGATGATGATGATGCTGATGACACTCCTCTCATTGTCAGTAGAAGGGTAATTGAATTCTGTTTACTCACAAGCATACATTTCTATGTGCTAATGGTTTTCTTGAATTTCTCAGAAAAGTTCAGCCTCTCCTTTGAAGACTTTGGTGTTGGCAGCTCCTGCTCCATCATCCTCTGCTGGAGCTGCTTCGTCCAAACCAGCTGATGAAGGGACTACGCTTAAAGAGAAACCTTCAGTCCCGGAACTTTTATCACAACCAATGGACGAGCCACCTTCTTTCCAGGGCGCCGACCCCCTTAACGTCGAACCAGAAAGTAATACATTTTTTGATGTTTTACCTTTGCTTGTGCTATTGGTTTCTGATTTGTTGCTTCTTTAATCATGCAAAGGCTCCTATGGGTCTGCCTGTTGTGGCAGAGTCTTCTCGTCCAGACAAGGGAAAGTCTCCACAGGTGGTGGGGTCACAGGTGGTGGAGCCAACTGGTGATATGCCACCTCCCAAGATTGCTGATGAGGTAACTTTTTGCTTCACTTTTATTTTCACTTTGTTTATTGTAGTGAAATCCTTCAATGTTGGCATTTTTCTTTGTCGGATGCTGATGAGATTGTGCGTTCCATCCAGGACTTATTCACTTCCTGAGGGCAAGTCAAGACGTCTCGCTCTATTTCAACCGGTTGTCCTTCTGCTTCTTCAGAGGAAGATATGAAGTTTCTCAAGCAGTCGATATTTGAGTATGTATCTTTTATGGATATAGACATCGATCGGGCTAGTGCTGCCAAACATAAGGATAAGCTTGAGCATTTGAGTGCGAAGTTGGTGCAAGCACTGACACTTCCGTCGGTCAATATTTCTGCTGATTTTAAAGCGACGTTGAAAGTTGTCAACTCTGACATCCTCTCTTTGCTGGCCAAAAATGTTGAGCTGAAGGCCAAGAGTACTCAATATCTTCGCGCTGCATCTGAAAGAGAGTCTTTGCTTCTGGA